ACGAATCTCCGCTGATCCATGCAGTCGATCCGACCTTCCGAGCTGTTTCCGGAGACGCTCAGGGTTTGTGCGAAGGAAGTGATGGATGATGGGACGAACCACGGAAGGTGATGTCACCTTACGGCACTTGTCAGCACGAGAGATGCATGGGCGAGAATAGACTGACCGAGGTGATACTGGGAGTTGCTCCCCCGCAGCGTCATCCTGCAAGCAACATTAAGCGCAAGGCACACACCGCACACGGAACGCGCACTGGTCAGTGGGCACGAAATTGAAGCTCGACGAGGCGGGGGTGAGCGAGTAGAGCGTCTGCGAGTCCTTGACGAGCTGGAAGTTGAACGCGCTGGTGTTGAACGCGCTGAAGCCATCCCGCAGGCCGAGGGTGTCGTTCTGCGCAGAGGCAGTCCCCCACTGCAACGCGAGGAACACAAACGCCGCGAGCATGATTTGCATCATCCGCAAGGCGCTGGGGCGTCGTGAGCATTCTGCTGGCAGCGTACAGAGAGAGACGGAGTGCTCCACTCACATATTGTGGGATCGTTGGCTCTTACCCTGCGGCACCGAGCTCCATTTAAACTGTTTCTCGTCCGCCAGCAGATGACCACGGCTGATTCCGTCAGAAGCAGACACATCATGTGGAGTGCAGGTTCGCGACCAAGGCAGATCACCCGTCGTTTGATACTTTTTCTCGGCCTCGCTTCTCGCAGCTGGGGGAACGGCGCCTGACGAGGTCAGCGGGACACCGGCGGCGGTCATAGAAGGGCTGCAATGGAGTCTGGTGGGCGTCGAGGTTGTACTGGGAAGGATAAATCGAGCTCTCGGAGACTCAGCGGATGTGCAGATTCGCGACGGAACGCCGGCGGACCGTTGGAGACGCCAGATAACAGGACGGCGACGGTATCAATTGGGACATGGAGATTGCAAGCGAGGGACAAGTCGCGTGCTCGTGAGATCTTGGGTCGCGCCCTCCGACGCCTGGTGGCAAATCCCCTCTGCCATGGAATGGGTATGGCAGTCGCGTCGAGATCGCCTTGCTGGTCTAGTCACAGGTCCAGGCATCGAATTTCATTTCAGAGAAGCCGATCTACTCCGAGCCCCGATGTTTCCCGCCTCCAGCTCTGAAGCGTCAAATGTTCGAATCCCAGCCTAGGTGAGAAGGTAAGTTTCCTATGGCGCCCCTCACAGCTCTCATTGCGAGTGGGTATTCTCGAAAACTTGAATTCTTTAAGCCTTGCTCATATCAGCTACTGTGAGGCTTCGACAGAGCCAAGCCCTTTATCGAATTTCAATGTCATTATCGTGGCATTTGGTCCTGGTTTCCAGTTCCTAAGTATTAGCTTATAGATGGCATACATTCGTCGATTTGAGCAAGGCCATTTGCCGACGGAGTCGGTGTTCTCTAATTTTGTTGAAGAAACCTGGCAGGATTAAGAACTTGGATAAGATTCAGAAGGGGTCAAATGCAGTCAGCAGTTTGTTCGGAGCAAACATCCTGATGCGGACAAAATTAACTTGACTCCACCCTCAGTGCATGCTTCTTCTGAAGCGAATGGCGGCTAACGTCAGCTCTGCAGTGGCCAAACGCCCGTTCTCGCGCTCGCCGTCACCGCGTGCACCCAAGCGTACTAAGATTGATCATCTCACGTCTGAGGACTTCAAGAATGGCGTGGTCCTGGCGCCGATGGTTCGTTCCGGAGCCCGTAGGTGCATCAGCGACATCAGAAACATCCCACTCAGAGCAATCTAACAGTTCCAACTCGACTTTTCGCTTTGAAACACGGAGCATCCCTGGTATGGGGACCTGAGATTGTGGACAAGGCTATCCTGGTCGCCGAGCGTGTCGTTGATCGTAAACACTCAGCCTCGCTTCCTTTCCCCGCCCCTCTTCTGACATAGCGAACACAGCTGTGACCGGTGTCGTCTCGTTCAATGGAAAGTCGCGCGCGATGTTCACAACCCACCCGGTCGAAAAGCCGTACTACATCTTCCAAATCGGCACTGCCGACCCGGAGCTCGCCGTCCAAGCCGCGCGGGTGGTCATGAACGACATCTCTGGGATCGACCTCAACTGCGGGTGCCCGAAGCCCTTCTCGACGCACTCCGGTATGGGCGCGGCCCTGCTCACGAATCCCGATCTCCTGTGCTCCATCCTTGTCGCCCTGCGCGCAGCGATGCCCCCCGAGATCACGGTCTCCGCGAAGATCCGACTCCTGCCGTCCCAGGAAGACACGCTCAAGCTCGTCGAGCGCATCGTGAATACCGGAATCAGCGCGCTGACGGTCCATTGCCGCACGCGGACGATGCGTGACCGCGACGCCGCGATGATCGACCGGCTGAAGGAGATCGTGGACTTCGTGGCGGGGATGGGTAAGGGTGTTGCTGTGATTGAGAATGGAGACTGCACTAGTGCTGAGGATGCGAAGCGGATCCGGGAAATCACCGGTGCGTCGTCAGGCTGCCTTGGAACCATGCGTTGGCCTAATCACCTGGAGCAGGTGCCCACTCGGTCATGATTGCGCGTGGTGCAGAGTCGAATCCGACCTGCTTCGACTCGAAGCCCTTGTGCGACCTGGAGTCCACGTTCGTTCCTGCGTATCTCCGAGTGGTATGTCCTTCGACCCGAAACGACCCCAGCCGCTCACATCTGTCTTCTTTAGGCCAGGTACCTGGACAACAACTGGGGACTGACGAAGTTCTGCGTCTCCCAATTCAAAACGAAGCATGTCAACTTCGACAAGGCGGCCCAGAAGCGATACCGTGAAATCTTGCATTCGACGAAAGGATTTGACGGGTTGGAGGAGATTGTGGGCGACTGGACAGGCGAAGAGGATTTCAAAGAGATCGTCAGGATCATCGAGGCCAGACCGCCCAGAACCCGCGCCCAGATGGAAAACCTGTCGAGCAGTCCGAGTCCGGTTCCCTCCGAATCGCTGATCTGTACCCCTCCTGACACGGTGAATCCAGAACCGCCCGGCTCAGGGGTTCCTCTGTTGTTCACGGAGCATCTGGTAAAGGACCTCGCCATTCTGAAAGGCGAAGGTCCGCTGACACCTTCCCCCGGGGGTGTCATGGTGGCGCCTTTGTAGAGTAGCACTCCCTGTCTTGTAATGTGCGTGACAATCTCCGGGAGTAGGACACAAGCTCCCCGTTCCTAATTATCAATATTAAGTATTGGCAGTCGGGCACAATACGACAAGCCGACAAGCCTGCAATATTTGACAGCTTTTACGAGTCATGCAGTGCCACGCCATGTGACCCACGGAGAGACGCCACACAATCTGAGCATATTGCAGCTTGTGCTGTCGTGTTTTTAGGCCGATTCGGAGCATTTAGCAAGCATTTAGCTGCAGTCTGAATAATCCTACATGACATACGGCGCAATTACGGGCCACATTTGACCGTCCGCATTTCTCCTTCGTCCGCCATCATCACGCTTACGCGTTCCACTGCCGCCGCCGAATATGAAGGGCGCACACATTGCAGCAGCGGCCTGTTTTTCTATCCCTTCCTGACAACCCAAACTGCTGTGCCAGCGCACCTTCGCGCCGACAAACTGGCCTCTCGTGCTCTGCCAAGGTCATGGCTTCTCGCAAGCCTGACCGTAAATTTGCCATTGTTCTGTATGCCGCTACTAGTATTGTATTAGCGACCGTCGGATTCTCCCTGGTGAGTCCCAGCGTGTCCAGTTCCCTGAAGTCTGCTGATGGTCTATTCCAGAGTGTCCTCGCCGCTGTAATCGCCCTATTTACCAACAATATCTATAATACACCCCCCACCGACGCTCGTTCTCTTTCCTCGATCTCTTCCTCCACCACCGCGCGCAAGAGATCCTCCAGGCATAGAACAGAGCGTCGATCACGTCCTGCTCAATTGTCCATGCCTCTTGTCCCGCACGCACAGGAGGACGACCTGCTCTCACCAGTCGACCTCCCGTTGAGCACACCGGTGACAGGCCATCTGGAGCCGTCTGCCCTGCTGCTCACTTCTACGTCGCCACCATACGAAGGTGCTGCTCCTCAAGTATCTATGTCACCACCGCCCTTGCGGGACTCAGCGGAGATTCCGGACGTGGGGATTCTGGAGCATACACCCCAGGAGGCATCGCTCTCACCTGAGACACGCGGCCGGCGGCGGAAAGGTCTCTCCAAACTCGTGCATCTTTTCGGTAAACGCGCGTCGTCGTCAGAGCCCGCGGCGCGGGCGAAATCTCCCGACCACAATCGGCGCCGGTCGCACTGCGCATCTGTGCTCAGTGCCGCGACGACGCGCTCTCCACCGACACACCCATCTCCTATTGTCTCGCTGTCCTCCCTAGACTCTCAAGCAAAGATGAAGCGATCCAAGTCGGGTGAGTGCATTGGCATCTGATCCTGGTCCGGGGGCGAACGCTGATGCACAAGACCACAGCGCTGGGCTTGCGATCGGCGTCTTCGTTTCCCAGCGGACTCAATGGACCAGAGAAACAGAAGGAGCTACATATTCGGCCACGCACGCAGCCCTACGCTGCGCCGTACTTTGTTCCGCCGCCCGATAGTGCGGATGTAATCGAGCCCCTGTCTCGGGACGATTTGAAGCGCAGGCGGACAATGTCACCGCCGGACAGAAGGAGATCGCTGCTGGGTCCCCACTGATGTCAGCCGCTGCTCTGTGATGTTGTAATAGCATCTTGAATCCCCAGCGTGTTCGTCCAAATCATCTAATGTACAATTACAATGAATGTTTCGCCTATGAGATGCAATAAGAATCCTATCCAACTCAGAAAGCAGGATCGCAGCAGAGGAGGGGTACGGATTGAGAATCGTGAGTGGGAACGCCCCAAAAGGTCAAAAAATGTCTCTCGCACAAAATGGACTATACCGGAGTCGAACCGGTGACCTCCCGCACATGCAGGAATGCTAAGCGGACGCGCTACCAACTGCGCTAACAGCCCTGTCTCTCACTTTCTGAGTGACATCAATGAACTCGGAGGTATGCAGGCATTAGAGTCAGACTGACTGCATCTCGTGTATACTTAAATTTCCTGAAATATATCGTGTACAAAATCTCAAATAATAGAAAGCGAATGCGCAGACGCATGCCGTAGGGACCATACTTATCAATTTTGATGCTGCACCGCCACAAACTTTCTCCCTCTGCCGCTGCTGTCTCCGCACCTGTTACGCGCTTCCGCTATTCTGGCTACCTCGCGGGCGTTTACGATACACTGTGCTTCAACAGAAGCCGATTAGACTCGCTTCATCTGCATGGAATCTCTTAGTCACGATTCTGTGCGTGTCTCCACCCCACTTTTTCTCTCCCTACGCTGATGCGCTTTGCGTTTGAAATCGGCTGCAGTTCCTGCAACGGCTAAGCGAGCTCTTCGATTCCTCGCAAGAGCACGGCTCTATATGGATCACGCACAAACGACGTACGCTGATTCGCATCGATGTGCCCGCGCGTTTCTGAGATCACCCCTCCTCCTCTGCACCCAGTTCGTCATGATGGCGAGAACGCTACGATGGCAGAGGGAAGCACTGCAGAAGACGACTCGCAGGAGTACCCCTGCCTGCTGCGCGTTACGGACGGCACCATCAAGTTCTCCACTCGCGTGCGCCCCGCCCCACCCACCCCATGCCCCGCACCCACGATGCTGACCCGCGATGTGGCTGGTTGCAGGTGCAATCGACGGAACTGGATAAGTTCCACGCCGCCTATGGCGCGCTGCTAAAATCCTCCATGTCCTCGCTCCGGAAACGCGACAAGAAGAAGGAGAAGCTGCGTGCGGAGATGCAGGCCAAAATCAAGAAGAAGCTGGAGGAGCCCCTCGTTGTGGACGGCCCGAAGCGCGGGAAGGGCAGGAGCAAGCGGAAACGGCAGGAGAAGGCGAAGGCTAAGCAGCAGGTTGCGCTGCAGAAGGCCAAGGAGCGGGACGAGGCTCGGTCGAAGAGTGCCGCACAGGCTGTGTGATGTCGTGAGAGAGATATCGTCTACCGCTGCTGTCTATCCCTCCTTGCTTTTGCAAAGCTTACGGGCATTGTATAATTGCTTTGGGTCCAACATGAATCCAAACACTGACAAGCGAGTACGCCAGAGAACCTCCGACAGAACAGTGCCATGGAGCACCGCGTATTACATAGATACAAGCGTCTGTCTAGGTCGCAAAGCACTGTAGATTCCTCGGATCTACTACCCATAGCACAGCACTAGCCACATCCGCGTCGCTGCTGCTGCTGCTGATGCTGCTGCTCCCACGATCATCGGGAAGCCGGCCGTTCAGACGCGAGGCGCGCACCTCCCGCAGCAGCGCGCGGACACTCGACTTGGTCGTCGTTAGCGTCGTCCAGCCGAGTTCGGCGCCGCGCAGCATGCTCTTCACGGCGTTCGGCGACAGTTTCGAGTTGATCTTGGCGGGCTGCAGCTCGCTATCGCCGAGGACCCCAGCATTTAGACGCGGGCCCTTCGAGTTTTTGGGGACGACGGGGTCTTCCAGCAGATCCTGGCAGACCTTCGCCATGTAGGTGAAGAATTTCGGGTGCGGGAGCAGCGCTCCTTCGAGAGGCAGCTGGGGCGGATTCGGATAGAGGCGAATCGGAAACAGTTGGACAAAGCCAGCGGCATAGCGGGAGCCGTCCCAGAACGTCGACTCGGCCCCAGAGAATAACGCCTCCGCGCGTCGGATCTCCGAACTGCCCCCGATCCGCGTCACGATCCGCAAACACCGCTCCCGGGCGTCGTCGCTCGTCCAGAACTCGACCGGCTCAGGGAGCAGCGCCAGCTGCTTGTGTATCTGCTCGATCAGCGGCTTGTCCATCTCCTGCAGGGCTTGCAACGTGATAATCCGCACGTGCCGCTGGATATCGCTCGCGTGGTCCCCGCCGCCGCCGCCAACGACGTCGGGTTTCCAGTCCCGGTACACGGTCGGCGGCTTGAAGCGCGCCGCGGCCTCCTGCGCATCGGCCGGCAGCGCCGCGTGCGTCAGGTCCGACGCGAGCGCCACGAGCACAGACAGGTCCAGGCTGATGCGGCGCGTGGGGCGGATTTGGCGCGGCGCGGGCGGGGCGCGGCAGGCCGCCAAGTCGCGCGGCAGCGGCATCGGGCGTTCGCCGAGCTCGACGGCGATGCCCATGTCCATCAGACACTGTATTGTCCGCGCAATGCGTGGATCGTGCGGCTCGCCGACGGGGTCCAGGCGCGTGAGGCGCATCGTGATACGCACAGGCTCTGGCGTCGGATTCGCCTTGGCCGCGGCGAGCAGCCCCTGGCCCATCTTCAGGATGGAGTTCGTGAACTCGGACGGGGCGAGGCTGGGTTTGTAGTCCGGATCGCTCGTGTCCTGCTCCGAGTCGTCCGAGTCGGTCAGGTACGAGTCCATCTCGCGGAACTCCGCCAGCAGAGCCGCGTTTTTGATCCTGCGTGATGTGTGCATAAGAAAGCCAGGAGTGCATCGCATCGACTGACGTGTTGATCCTGATCCACTGCCGCCCGTTCTCCGCGACGACGTCGACCTTGGCGGAGGGCATGCGGTGGTGTTTCTTTTCTTTCAAATTCGCGCGCTTGTGGCTGCTGTCGACGAGGTGCATGTACTTGAAGAGCGCGATGACGGGCGCCGGGGCGCACAGCAGCTCGGTGAACACCGCGACGAGGTACGGCGCATGCGTCGACACGGGCTGCTCCTGCGCGGATTTTGGATCGGAGAGGAACTACTGGAAACAGCGCGTGTGAGGCAGATCCGGACAGCGGCAATGCAGACGGATGACTAGCCTTTTTGAGCACATCGATGTCCATCCGTATCGACTCTCTGAGGTGCTTGATCCCGGGGATGTTCTCGTGCTTCAGCCATTGCCCGTCATCGTTCGGATCCGAGTCGATGGAGGATGAGTCGAGGATCGGGGGCGCCTCGACGAGTGGTTTGAAGTCCAGCAGCGCATCGTGAATGTCAAAAAGCTCCTGGTACAACGTTTCCAGATCCTGGTGGGCCATAAGTGAGCGTCGCGTGCGGTCACTGAACGCGAATCGCGATGATCGAATCACAATAAGAACACACACCGTCTTGGTACACCGAAACGCCCAAAAAGGCAAGAATCGCCTTGGGAGGGAACCACCATGACCGAGCCGGAGCAGCCAGACATCCTCAATCCGGCCACGTTCGTACCACCGCAGCTCGCGGAGTCCACGTCCATCACGATCGAGTTCTGCGACAGAGTGCGTCTCGTCGTGTCTGCCACGAATGGGCGCCCGACCCCGTAGACTCAACGCACACCGACAGTGCCGATGGCTGCACCGCGCGGCCTGGGTCCAAACCGAGCTCCTGCTCACATTTGCGCCGCCCGTCATCGGCTCGATCACGCTCGTTCCGCGCAACTCCGAAGAGACGGCGGGCAGGTTCCGCGTCTGGGTGGGTACACCCGGGTCGGCGGCGCCACAGCTTGCCTGGGACCGCAAAGTCGAGGGCGGGTTCCCCGAGCTCAAGATTCTCGTGTGTATTGCCCGGCTGATACCAGCCGGCTGCACTGACGCTTGGGTTTAGAAACAGAGAGTGCGCGACATCCTGCAGCCGGGCAAGAGTTTGGGGCATTCCGACGTGAACGCCTCTTCCACTGCTTGAAGATGCATGCTGAAGATGCATGCTTGTCGCACGCACGATGCTTCGCAGCACCGCCTCATCGAAACTTATTTCACGAAGGCCTGTCCTCTGCCGCGTCTAGTATTCAGCTACAGCTCGAGCAGTCTTGAGATCAGACGGTGAAGGTATGAATCACGCCAGTGTACGAATGTCCCATCAATTACCGCTCGAATCCCGTGCATCAACGCTTTGCATGCAATGATATTCCACCGTCTAGATCTTCTGCTAGATGTTCGATGCGCTTTTGAAGTCGTCTATTCTACTCTATCCTTCATCGTTTTCTCTCTCACGATGACCAAGACCGCGGATAGGATCGCAGTTGCGAACATCATACTGCCCACGAAGATCTCCACCGCTGAGGCACATGAGATCAACGTCAAATATGAATCTCGAGCACATACCCGTGAATCCGTATCCCGCCCACGACGCCCGCGACACGGACCCGTTCCTCGGGTGCAGAGAAGCAGCGATGAACGGCCCGGAGATCGCCGCGAGGCCCTTGGCGCCCGAGAACAGGAAGAACGGCGTCAGCGATTGGTCCGCGTACACCTCCTTCGCCGCGGGCGGCCATACGGAGCTGAAGCCGCCGCTCTGGCGCCCCGTCAGCTCTTGGGGGTCCGGCGGGAGGACTGGGGGGAGGGGACGCACCACGGCGCCGAACAGCACGGAGAACAGGACGATGAGGCTGAGGCTGTGCGCGTAGCCCCACAGCAGGAACGCGAGCCCGGCGGCGACGAGGCTTGACCCCAGCATCGCTGTCGAGTATGGCCCGCGGTCGCAGTAGTACCCGACGAGGACCTGGCCTGTATGTGGAGGGTCAGTCCAGCCCGCTGTAACGGTGACATCACAGGAATAGGGGGGGACACTCGCCTATGACGGCCGCCAAGTTGAAGACCGTCAGCGCCAGGGTCCCATTCCCCGGCGAATACCCGAGCGAGGCTGCGTAGGTCGGGATGTACAGCGAGACCGGGAAGTACGCTAGCGCCTGCACGAACACCGCCAACGCCTGCCCCCATCAGTCAGTCAGTCAGCAAACAGCAGCAGCAGCCCCCAACGACGCACGACGAGGACGAACAGCGGCGAGCGGACGAACTGGAACGTCAGCGGTGCCGGCGTGCTGTGGCGCGCAACGGGCAGCCTCGGCTTGGCGCCGAGCAGCGCGACGAGCCCGAGCACGCCGACGATCAGCGCGAGCGAGCGGAGCGCCCAGCGGAAGCCGTAGCGCTGCAGCACGTAGTTGGTCACGACGGGGAAGAGCGCGCCGCCGAGCCCCGAGCCCCCGAAGATGATCGACGCTGCGAAGGCGCGCCGCTGCGGTGTTGTCGTTACGGTGAGCGGGCTACGCCGGCATCCCAAATGGCGTGACGGACCTCGACGAACCATTCATTGAGCTGCGCGGAGGATGACGGTCAGCTATTGGGCGAAGCAAAACACACAGGAAACCGCGACATGCCCATGATACGACTGGGCCATAGAGCACCCCTCCAGCGACACCGTAGAGCACACCCTGCAGCAGAATCAGCTGCCAAACCTAGTCGCGCGCACGCATATATCATCAGCCTCGACACAAAGAAACCCATTTCAGATTTGTTGGCTTTCAAGACTGACCTTCGTGGCGAAGCTCGAGACGAGCAGCGCGCCGACGCAGGCCGCCAGGCTCGCGCCCATGAGCGACTTGGTCCACCGCGGGTAGCGCTGCGTGAGCGCCATGACGCCGAGGCCCTCGAAGTACTGGATCCCAATCGTGATCGTGCCGATGGAGTTGATCGACGCCTCGGACGCGCCGCGGAAGGGTGACTGCGGCGAGTTGAGGTAGAATTCTTGGAACACGCCGTACCTGCGGCGCCGGGCTTCCGTGTCAGTCGGCTGTTACGCAAGTCCTCCTGCGAACAGGGGCCAGTGGGTGGGTGGGTGCTTACGAGAAGGGGAAGCCCCAGACGAGACACTCGAGGATGAAGGCGCAGAAGATGAACAGCCAGGCGCGGAAGCCGCCGTCGATGGGAGGCAGCGAGATGGCTTGCTCTTCGGCTGTGCTCCGGGATTCGAGTTCATGCGAGCTCGCGGCTTGCTCGACTCGCGGCCCGAGGATCTCGAGCCCAACGACGGTGGAAGCCATAGCGTATCGACATGACTCAGACTCGGCTACACAGTTTTTGCGAGCATTTTCAGTGACGATATTGACTTGGCAATCGATATGTGAGTGCGCGTGTGATTACTGTGTCGTATTGCGATCGCGACAACATTTCTTCCAGCAGCGGTGAGTCGCTCGATATTTCAAGGCCCATATCTACATCAATAGCAGGCAAGAGTTAGTGCTAACTACCTTCTGAGTTCACCAGCACGTGACCCTGTATGCGAGTACCTGGTCCGTGCACGACCTGGGAGTATATAAACCACCTGTCAACATCGGGTTCTGCATACTTACCTTGATGGCATAAGCTCCTTCATGGACCTGGGCTTTTGGGCCGTGGGAACACTCCATAGCACGGCGACCCTGTCCATTCAGAGTGGGCCTGCGGTTTGTATGGGCTTCGGCTCATGCACCGTCTCAATATTTTCCTGTTCCGCCACGGCCACTCGGCTAGGCGGGCCGCCTTATTTTTTGGTTCCTTATTTGTCCTAACCCTAACCATAATGCATTACTGTATGTACAGTCACGGCGGAAATTGATTTCCCATCATATCGGGAAGCAAGTGATCCGAGGATCCTGATAGCACAGCATTGCATCAAACACAAGAGATTCAGCAAAGATTTCACTCTCTGGTGGTGCAGGCATGCTTCCACACTGTAACGCAAGTGCTACTATAGGTGTCTGGGTAATTGGCCACCCTAAGTAGTTGGCCATTTTGGTTGTAGAGCATGACACCGTGTGCTTTCCCCACTCATGAGGTTTCAGGATGAAAGTTGGGTATCAAAAGCCCTTGTGAGCAAGAGGACAAGTCCAGGGTGATTGACAGCCAATTATGGGAGGTGATATCTGAGCAGATTTGGGGAGCAGCGGACCAATTTCTTATTTTGGACATCCTCCCATGAAAATAAACATGTTCATCCTCACAACCCCGCCCGTCCGCAGCTCCCCACACATACTCATTCTGTACTACACAACATGAAGTTCAATTTGACGCACTTTTGTTGATGATATCTAAGCCCTAAGGATATCAGTGCCCAGTGCAACGCTCAAGGAGCATTTAGAATGACAGGTCAACAACAAGTGGGTCTAGGCCGCATATCTCAGTGGTGGCTAGTGCTGGTGCCAAGTGAGTTGACATGGCTCTTATGCATAGTCCATGCTGTTGTTTACTTATATTCCCATAATTTTAGAGATTTTATTCCTTGCATGACAAAAGTGCTACATCTTGCCACCACTTCTAACAAGTCCGATTCTCTGCCTCTCAGATCAACCCTTCCATGCATGCTTTGCTCTTGTGCAATGGTTTTAATGCATCAAAGAGTGTTCGGAACGTTTTTGGAGACACAAATATGTCATCCAAGGTCTTCTTTTGCAACCTGTCTGAGGACGGAGGCAGGGGGGATCTGCCTTGTGACTTTAAGCTATGAGCATAGCAGGGTTACAGTGGAATTGTTCACGGTGCATGTATATCCCTTTTAATGAGAGTTCCAGTCATGTACGACTTAGTCTCAGCTCCCTTTGACCATTCATGAGCTCCAATTGCTTGGGCAGTCCACCACCCGCAAACACACCTGGCCCGGCTCCATGGCCCTCCAATCCTTCCTCTGAAGTTGCACTCAGCACATCCATTCAAAGTACCATGCTTGTGGTCGATGAATACTCTCTGCATGACATTGCTATGGCTCCAGGCCCCAAAGTACCAGAGGCCTATGGAGTATCCGAGGAGGTATGAACTTATTTCGAGGTCTCAGTCAGTTAACAGAGCCTTAGCAATCCGATTCCAACCTGTTGGCTGCAAACATTCTAGACAAAGACTTTGATGATGCTGTACTTGAGCAGATACCTCTTCTGGAACGTCAGAATCTGGCAATTGCTGCCATCTCTTGTAGAGCAACGCAGAGGAAATCACGTACTTTCTACTGAGTCAACCGTGCTACTGTGGCAAATCGCATGAACGGAATGCCAACACGCACGCAAGTGCATGCAAAACAGCGTGCAGTGATTGAGGCAGAAGAAGAGGTGTTCCTCAAATTCATCAAGGTGAGTATCTCTCTATTCTCTGTATAATGGCATCAGTAGTTTACGCACTGGTATAGGTGCTCAGCCATTGGGGTGTTTCTTTGACCATGAATATGATCACGACCTATGCCTCTCGTATTGCAGGGAAAGAATTAGGAAGGACATGGAGCCGACGTTTCAAGGCTCAGCACAAGAACGAGTTGAAGGCTTGTCTCCTAGTTCTTCACAGTGTGTTCCACTCTCACATCACATTTGATTTCAGGTCAAGACAGCAACAACACTGGAGGAGTGTCATGCAAAATCACTCAACATATATGTGGTACACCAGTACTTTGTGATGCTAGAGTCTGTGATCAAGGAGTATGATATCAAGCCTAAAAACATCTATAATATGGACAAGAAGGGAATTCAACTTGGGGTTGCTGGGTGCGTTGCAGTTGTGGTCGACCGGGATCAAGAATCTGTTCAGACTATTGCCAATGGAAATCGTGAACTGGGTGGGGGGCTCCTTGACATCTTACCACCACGTGCAATTAAGCGAAAGTCCCGTACTTCTCCGTCCGGGCTGGAGCGAGAGCACACGTCGGCGTACATCCACAGCTAATATCCCTATATAATCTCCTATCCACTACATTATGAGCCAAGACAGGACAGCACTGAGCCAAAGAAGCCGCGCGTCAATAGGAAACGCTCAAGCACCCAGGACAAAACCGAACACCAGGTCGTCACCCAATAAAGACATGAACACACACGCAGATATGGACCGGGATAAGCTATACGGGAAAGGACCTTTTGATTGGACTCGAGCGACACCGGGTGAAGCAAGAAAGTTTCTTATAGCAAAAGGTTTCTTCACGGAGGAAGTCCCGGAGTCCCCGGGACCGGAAGACCTGGCCCTGGCCTTATTGAGAACGGCTAACGACCAAACACTACCAGCGCTCGCGGCGGACGCTATCAAGGTAACAGCGTACCTCATAGAAAAGCTAAATGCACATGCGCAGGAAAACGTCGCAAACGACATAAGCGACATTCGAGACATGGTCAGGAACAACGCCGAGCGGGAACGCACGGACGCGACCGAACTGCGGGACGCTGCCAGCACTCTAGCAACCACGGTGGAGAAGGTATACTCCGAGCTCCAGGATATCACTGATAGATTAGGGTCACAAGTTGAAACGCTGGAGACAAAGGTCGCAAAGCTCTCGGCAACCACGAACGAAATCACAAAGGGGACGACAAACCCAAGCACACCCACAACGGTAGGACGTCCGTACACCACACACTCACAGGCTACGTATGCCGACACGCTACGACGGGAAGCGGAACCCGTCCCCACAAAGCTACGAGCGGACATGGCAATGGCCAGGGCACGAGATAATCAAGTAACCCTACGCAACGAGACGCCCACGGAACCAGCAGTGTGGGCCGAACTCACGGAGAAAGAGGCCCTCACAAAAGTTAAGTACGCCATTGAGAAAGCGGTACAGCTAACAGAAGAGGAAGGTGCCATACACGGAGACCCACCAATAGCTGCCGGCGTAACAAAAACACGATCAGGAGCTCTAGTAATACACATGGCTAGCGTGCACCACGCCACCTGGCTACGCGAGGTGGAGACAATGACCAGGTTCCTGGAGGCATTTGGAGGTACGGTGAAGCATGCGGAGAGACTGCACATGGTAATAGTACAATTCGTCCCGGTTTCCTTCGACCCGGAAAGCACAGACCACACACGCTTCATCGAAAGCAACAACAACCTGCCTCCTGGCGCACTCGGACACGCTCGATACGTGAAACCCCGCAATCGACATGACCCGAACCAACGCTTTGCACACGTAATCTTGGGGCTACGCACCCGACAACAGGCAAACCGGATATTACAACACGGAATATGTATCGAAGGTAAAAAAGTCTACGGAAGAAAGCTGCTGAACGAGCCTATCAGATGCATGAAGTGTCAACTCTATAACGCAGGCCACATTGCAAGGAACTGCCCTCTAGAGGCAGACATATGTGCGAGGTGCGCCGGAAGCCACCGAACCAGCGAATGCAACAAGGAAGACGACGAAAGACAGTGCGCTAACTGCAAGAATAAGGGTCTACCGCACACTGGACACGGAGCCGCAGACCGCAACTGCCCAATTTTCACTAACCACCTACAGGCATCGCTCCAGCGCAATCCGGACGCGAAATACCAATACTACCCCATCGAAGATGACCCGACTACATGGACGCTCACTCACGAGGCACAAACTGACCCAATGCAAGGAAATGGCCCACCAAAAAGGCAAGACCCAACGCGCTTCCGGCAGGGCCTCCCCACACAAGCCGCAGCTTTCGCCGCCACAAACATGACAAGAGGTGCACAATGGGAGGGGAGCACGCAGCGCGCAACCACCCAGCCACCCCTGCCACTACGACAGGGCACCCTATCTTTTGCCAATCACCGAACCGGCACTAGTAACATATCAATGAGCTGGGCAAACGAGATGGACCGCGAAGACCAGCTGAACACACCCACAGGAAACGACGCAAGCCCCCAAGCACCAACACGACCATGGACGGAATGAATGGAAACCCGCGTCGCACGGCAGGAACACAAGCCATCCGAATCTGGCAACAAAACATGAATAAATCCCTCACTGCGCAAGACACCTTCTTGAGCTCGCTGCACCCGGCAAAATTCGACTTCGCATTAATACAAGAGCCGTACATTGACTTCCGAGGCACATCACGCACTAATCACTCTTTTACTCCAGTCTACCCCACCCCACACGCAACAGACGGCAAGGGCACAAGAACTTTAATACTCGTAAACACAAGGATTCCGACATCATCCTGGAAGCCTATACCCTCAACTCACTCGACCTTACGGGTATCGAAATCACACGGGGAGACGAAGTGATCCGCGTGATCAACGTCTACAACGCCTGCGACCACAACGAAACCCTAGTGGTACTCCGCCAGTACCTTGCCAACGCGACTCGACATACACCAAACAACGATCCAATCCACTATGTCTGGGCAGGCAACTTCAATCGACACCACCCTCTATGGGACGAGGACCGCAACCAACACCTTTTCACCAACAGGAATCTACGGCTCGCTGATCCCCTCCTACAGATGCTAGCCAGACACAGCATGGTCATGGTGTTACCCAAAAACATCCCCACACTGAAGGCTCACAGCACGGGTAACTACACCCGCGTAGACAATGTATTCTGCTCGGCGGACCTGGCTAAGTCGTTCACATTATGCAATACCGCCCCCACCCTAAGACCACCCTGCACAGACCACATGCCAATCCTCTCGGAACTAATCATCAATGTGGGCACCTGCGCACAAACACCCAGACGAGTGTGGAGGGCAGCCGACTGGAAGGGCTTCAGAAACACGCTCGCGACACACCTGGAGGCACACCCACCCAAGCCGCTGAGATCGCCGGGGGATATAGAGGCGGAGATAGAGACTATCGACACCGCGATCAACATAGCCGTGGACAAGCATGTCCCCCTAGCTAAGCCCTGCCCACATACTAAACGCTGGTGGAACCCCAAACTAACAGATGAAAGGCGTGTGACGCAAAAGATGCAACGCATATCATATGCGCACCGACACATCCCAGAACACCCGGCCCATGAAATGGCAAGAACACTACGGAATCGCCTATCTAGAAGTATCCGCGACGCCAAAGAGAGACACTGGAACAAATGGCTGCAGGGTCTGTCCAAAAAAGACGTATGGACCGCACAGAAACTTGTGACGGGCCCAGCAACGGACGGAGGACGAGCCCGGATACCCAATCTACAAATTGCAGGGGGAGGCAACGCAGCAAGGTCAGCAGTAACAAATGAGGACAAGGCTCTGATGTTCCACAGCGAGTTCTTCCTCCCCAAACCCATACAATCTCTAGTCCCCTTTGGTGCGACGTACCCAGAACCCGCCTACAAATGGAAACCACTGTCGGACGCAGTCATATATGCAGCAGTTGCACGCCTGCAGCCCTATAAAGCACGCCAACCGGGCTCGGTGCCTAACTGCGTATACATCCACAACGCCGGGCAACTGGTACCCAGGTTAGGCAGAGTCTTCCGCGCAGGCGACAAGCTAAGTTACTACCCACAAGGCTGGAATACAATTCACACAGTTGTACTTAGGAAACCAGGCAAATCCGATTACAGAAATCCAAACAGCTACCGACCAATTGTGCTCTCGAAGGATCACATGTCCCTGGAAAACGCGGCACGCAACCTGCAGGTCACTGCGGAGGCCGAACTCGCAGGCATCCTCCCCAAAACCCAGTTCGGTGCCCGACCCGGTAGGTCGACCACCGATGCCATACACAGCGTGGTCAAGATCTCGAAAGACGCATGGAGGAAAGGGAAGGTTGCGAGCCTACTGTGCATGGACGTAAAAGGCGCGTTCCCAAGCGTTGACCTAGATATGCTCACTCACGAGTTACGAATGGCGGGCATACCGAAGGAACACACCGAGTGGCTCAAAAGAAGATACAACGGCAGGACTTCCACCATTGCCTTTGACGACTACATTTCACCCCCAGTAAGTGTCGCAAACGGGCTCGACCAGGGGGACCCACACTCGGGATTCCTCTGGATGGTATACAACTCAGGACTGGCCGGCATACCAAAGGAAAAGCACGGTGAACACAGCGTCACCTTTGTGGACGACGAAACACTTCTGGTCACCGGCACATCGTTCAGGGAGACACATGCACGCATAAAGGACATAATAGGTCGACCGGGAGGCATCAATGAATGGGCGGCAACACACAACACGAGTTTCGGACCAGCTAAGTACCAGCTCGTCGATCTCAGCAGAAAACGCGTAAAAAAAACCATTCCAGCCAAGAAAAACCATGCCAGCACCGAGACCCGATATGAAACTAGGAAACCACAGAATCACCTCAGCGCCCGCGGCAAAACTCCTTGGCGTACTGATTGACAGAGAACTACGATGGAAGCCCCAAGCAGCTGCGGCAGTCGCGAAAGGTCAGATATGGCTAAGCCAGGTCTCAAGGCTTGCAAAAACGACGCGGGGGATAGGTGCAAAGGAGATGCGCCGACTGTATATGGCAACCTGTGTCCCGAAAATGCTATATGCAGCGGACATTTTCCTAAACACGAATAGCGACAGGGTAACAACAAAACGAGGGCAAAAGAGCGGGACGTTAGCAAAACTCAGGTCCATACAAAGGCGAGCGGCTCTGCTTGTCACCGGCGGTCTAAGCACTACGCCCACAGATGTATTGGATGCACACGCCGGACTGCTACCCATCCACCTGCTAGCCCAGAAGGTCAGACAACGGGCCGCCCTGCGTCTAGCCACAGTTGGCAATAGTCACCCACTCAACAAGGCCGCCCGCAACGCAGCCGCGCGATACGTCAAACGCCATCGCACGCCATTACACGAACTCATGCATGAATTCGACCTCGACCCAGCGGGGATGGAGACGATAGAGCCAATGCGTCAAAGGGCGGAGTGGAAACCCGTCGCAACAATAGCGCCACGTAGCACCAAGGAAGCGGCAATAGAACAGGAGAAAGGAGACATGGCGGAGTGGAAGGTGTTCACCGACGGGTCAGGGATCCACGGACACATAGGTGCAGCGGCGGTGTTGTACCGGGGGGGCAGGCTTATAAAGACCGCGAGGAAACACCTGGGAACGGACGCCCACCACACTGTATACGAGGGGGAAGGCGTAGGCCTAAACCTCGCAGTTGGCCTCCTCATACAGCAGCGAAACGTACAGGGAAACGTTTCCATCTATGTCGACAACACAGCCGCGATCGACGCCACAGCAAACAGGGACCCCAACCCCTCGCACTACATCTGGGATGCTCTAGACCTCCGCCTGAGAGAACTACGCCGAACCCACCCAAACGCAAAAGTGACATTCTGCTGGTTGCCGGGTCACGTCGACATCCAGGGCAACGAGGAGGCAGATAAACAAGCGAAGATGGCGGCGGAGCAACTCCTGACGAACAGGGCAGAGGCCGACAAACTTTTGCACAAGAGCCTGAGAGGCACGCTACCCCGTAGCAAATCCGCCGCGGCACAACACTACAACGCGCTCTTACAGGCTAGGGCAAATGACGGGTGGAAGGCCTCTCCACGATACAATAAGCTCAAATCTCTGCTCAGGAAAACCCCCACTGAATCTTTTCAGAAGCTGATAAGGAAGATTCCGCGTCAACAAGCAACAATCCTATTCCAGCTACGCGCGGGGCACGTACCACTAGCGCGATACCTACATCGAATTGGAAAGACAGACTCCCCCACATGTCCTTACTGCCACCGGGCAGACGAAACCGTGGCCCACTACCTCCTGGCGTGCCCAGCACATGAGGAAGAACGTCGAAGAATGAATGAAATGGGGGGACGCAGTACCCTAAGCGTAGCACGACTCTTGACGGACCCCAAGACAATCCCACACCTCATGCGATATCTGGCCGAGACGAGGCGCTTTGCGAAGACCCATGGCACACTGGAACTGGGGGACGAGGACACAACGGACCAGGGCACTTAAGACAGAAAACGAGAACGAGAGACTCAACCACAGACTGGCGACTTTACTTTTATATTTATTAGCTCGTACGCCCGAGCGCTCGGCCACCACACCCCACCTATTGGCCAACAAACCCACCGCGGACCCGCAAGGGCACCGCTGGATATAACGACGCCTCACCAGACGGAGGGGATTAGCGGGAGCAGACGGAGAACAGAGAGCTAGCCGTATCCCTACCATATCGTACGCGACCATGGGGAATCATAAAATCGACTTTAAAAAATCGTGAACTGGTGACGGTAATTGAATGCATCAGCGCTGATGGTGAGGCCATGAATCTGTTAATTGTCTTCAAGGGTTTGAGGCGTGAACAATCTGATTGCAAACTACTCAAAAGTGTGTGATCAAGCACTGAAGAAGCAGACAATCACCAATGTGTTCAGAAAATGTGGCATTTATCCCCTTGACAAGAGCGCAATTCCAAAATCACTGTTTGCACCAGCTGCAAACTACACAACCCAAGAAGCCCAGCCTATTTGACCAAGCCTAACACTGCTATTGGTGCCTATCAAAGCAACCGAAATCATCACGGAACCAACTCTGAGTTGTGAAGGAGAAGAATGAGAGATTGATGGTGGAGAAGCTGGCTCAAATCATTCCACTTCCCTCACTCCTCCAATCATCTCTGTATCCTCAGAGGCATCATCAACAACAGTCACCAGTTCTAGTCATTCCATCAAGAATCCGATCACCCATTACCAAATCGAGCTACCCTGCCCTCTTCTGTCAAATGCTTTGAAGGATCAGCTCAAGCAGCAGATTGCTGAATTGCAATCTATTGCAGCTGAGGCTGGCATTGCACTGAAGAAGAATCATGTAGAATTGGTGTTGATGATGTCTGAGAACAAGAATCTGTGTCAGAAATTGTACAACAAGAAGGGCAAAGGTTGATGTGCTTACAATACAAGAGCGCCATGGCTGATGACAAGGGAGGAAATGGTGGAAGCGTTGTTGCATGACGATCATAAAAAGAACATGGCTGTTTTGCATGCAGGCATGAAGGCGAGGTTGGCAGAGATCAGGAAAGTGATTGTGACAGTGGAAAAAGCAGCAAAGGCAACAGAGAAGGCTGCAGCAAAAGCAACAAAGGCAGTGCAGAGAGTAGAAGCTGCCACAGCCCATACAAACTGTGGGCGTGGTCATGGACAAGGCCGTGGCAGTGGACATGGTCGCAGTGATAGGCTAGCTACCAGACGTGCTCTGCACCAACTCTATAAAGGCGTATTTTTGCGCTTTTACAGAGTTTACTCTTGAACCATTCGGTGTATCATGTCGCAGGTGCCAGTGTCACGCTTGGTAGAACTTAAGGGTTTGCTGCCCAGTTGACAACTGTGGATAGTGTCAACAATAGTAGCAGGGCAGTCAGACCATCACTGTGGAACTGGTCTTATAAGTCTATACCAGACTCAGGGCTATCAGTGACAGACACTTGTGTACCGTGGCAATTCCTCAAAAGGGATACTTTGTTGCAGCAACTCCTCAAAAGGGTCATTCTCTGCAGATGGGAACTTAGACTGGAGGGCTTAGTAATGCGCAATGTGCTCAGCATAACCACTAGACAGGACTTGGCATAACAAGATTGAACCAATCTTGTCGTTGTAACTCCCAGCTACGTGTAAGGGCAACCTCGAGACCCGATCTCAGAGTTCTGGCAAGGGAGAATCCAAAGTGTTAATAGTGGTAGCTAGGTACAAGACCGGCATACCTGGCAAGGGAGAATCCAAAGAGAAACCGTGTTGGGGATTCTCCTTGCCAGGCGCCACTATTTATATGATACAAGAACAATAGAGCGCACAGCGACAAACAAAGAACAATGGGGACAATAAGTACAATGGCCGTTGGAGAACAATAGGAAACCGAGACAGTGGGAACGATGGGACACCTGACCATGTGCCCATCAGAGAGAAGCGCTCGGCACGGCAGCCCGGGCCGCGGTACGTGACAGCTGACAGGTCACGCAAGCGCGATCACATGCCAGATCCCAAGCTGATTGATCAGAAGAGGGGGTTCCCCTGACACTACGGGTTAGACGTTTCCTCCGATCATGCTTTGGCAACAACTTGTCACATGCCATGTTCTACTCAATCATGGGATATTGTGGACACATCGCAGTGACACTTCAAAGTGTTACAATGAGTTGCATCTATACCCAAACACACCAAAAGCAACACGGGCTAGATCCGTTAACCAAACCATGTGAGCAACGTCTGGTGTACCTTGGACCATACAGCTTCTTGGGGCACCCACGTTGGACTCACTTGCCAAAACATACCAGTTGGCCAATCCAACACTTTGTATTCCAAAAGTAGGACATGGTGGGTTGTCCTACATCAAAAGCACCACATGGACAATGGGGCAGGGTCCTGATCAGTCAGGACCTGTCCAATTGTTCAACTTTTCATTACCATAAAAAGCAACCAATCTTAGATAGCGTAGCTACTATGCAGTTGTACAGGACTTTACCAAGCACCATTGTAGACAGTATAAGTTGTGCAATGTTTCTTTGTATTGGGGAGCTTTCCCCTAGACTGTGAATCATACCCATATCAGATTGTTTTGTACAATTTGCATGTCACATGATTCCTCTTTAAGAAGCTCTATTATCCCTGCCTGGTTGCAACAAGTTGCTCCCTGAGCACTCGTAGCTACTGTGATTTGAGTTTGAGTTGAGATATCAGAAAGTCGGATTCACCACTTCTGGTTTAATCGCGGCACTTAGTGTTGTTGCCTTTGGGCTTTGTTGAGATTGTTTCCACACCTCTAGCTTGGCAGTGCGTCGACTAGTGGTGCCTGGGTTGCTTTGGTCAGTTGGCAGTGCATCAACTTGAGAACTTTGGTTTCACACTTCTTGCTTGGCAGTGTGTCAACAAGTTGTACTTGGGTTTTGGACTTTGGATTTTGGCTGTTAGTTGGCAGTGTGTTGACTTGATATTTGGTTTTACTAGTTGGCAGTGCGTCGACTCAGTACTTCGGTTGTCTTAGTTGGCAGTGCGTTGACTTGACATTTTGGTTCTACTCGTTGGCAGTGCGTCAACTCAGTATATTTTGGTTTTATCAGTTGGCAATGTGCCAACTTGGTATTTTGGGCTTTGCGTTACCATCTGGACGCTGTCACTACAAGGGATCTTAATACTCTGTATTAAGTTCCAACTTGTGATATTGTTGGTTTTGGCTGTATAGAAGATATTGGTTGAGACACCATTGTTTGCTATATATAAATCCTTGTCTTTGACTTTGTCTTCTGCGACTATTGGATCCCACGTCTATTGAGAGTTGTGATACTGGTGTTCTGTTCACCCTGAAGCCCTCGCATTTTTCACACACAGAAGCTGATTACGAGGCGTGTGAACATGTTTATATTTGGGTTTACTTCATAGTAGATTCACTTGTGAGCGTGCCCTCAGCATTTCATCGGCATGAAGCACTGTCCCAGATGTTGCTCACCAATGTCAGAGGAACCCCTGCTTTCATCTGATCATCATGGGATCTTGCATTTGACCACGCAGTGCCATCTGTTAAGTGTCACATGCTTTGGTCTGGACTTCCCTGCCAAGCACGTCCACATGACCCTCCGGCCTGGGCCCCCATTGTTCCAATGGTCCGGCTCCCATTGTTCTCCCGCCCCTCATTGTTCCCTGGCCCCATTGTCTGGTGCTTCCCATTGTGCTTGGTCATCCATTGTTCTGTAGGCTATATATAGTGGGCCCTGACAAGGAGAGTCCCCAACTTGGTTTCTCTTTGGACTCTCCCTTGTCAGGTTTGCCAGTCTCCTATATTAGTTGATCCCCTTATCTGATGCTTTGGACTCTCCCTTGTCAGGACTCTGAGATCGGGCCTCGAGGTTGCCTTTACAACCAACCAACGCCTGGACAAGCTGGCTGCCTCCTGAGCGGACTTTGTGGAGCAAGGAATGATACCTCCACAGTTCAAACCAGTACTAGACTGAGTTGCCAACAAGAATGACAATGAGCAAGCTGATGACGGTCCTCATGTTCTGGGATCAGTAATCTTGGCCTGGAAAGCAGGTGCATGGGTTGTATTTCTGATTTTGAGCTCTCATGGACTGTCATGTCAGAATGGTCCTACCCTCGCTCACTGGCACTACTTGGGGCCCACATTCATGTTCCCACATTTGCGGCACTGCTTTCTCAGTTTATCAGCAAACAGTTGGAGCTGAGTACAGAGATGACAGATTCTGGATCAGATTTCTTGGCGTTTGATGACTTGGATGTCTTGCACCTGAGCATTTGTGTTTTCCATTCAGCTGTGGCAACATTTTATGCTCCAAGCAATTATTCAGGGATTTGTGGGATGAAAAGAGAACAAATTCAGTGTACTCCGGGTTGGAGGAAGCACGGTCCGTGTCGTGACTGTGCTTTCATCATCAAAGACCAAGACAAATCAGGATTCTGTGGGATGAGTGTGGTCCGGATCAAGCTTTTCTTTTCATTCTCGATAGAGGGACAGAGTATCCAAGCGCTCTTGTTGAGTGGTTCAGAAAAGTTGGCAGATGAGCTGACCCAGAAACAGAAATGTGGATTGTGGAGCCCAAAATGAGAGGGCGCTCACGACTGCTTACTGTTGTGCACATTGAAACCCTACTTTGCAGTGCGCACTTGATTCCAGTATTTGGCGCAAATTTTTTTCCTTCCAACTTGCAATATAATCATTGACATGTTTACTGCATTCCATATCAACAAATTGTCGCAGACAATATTGCACAGTAGAGATACGACCAGTAGCGATCACCTAGAGAGACAAAGTCTCAGCGAGTGTAGAAGACACAGAGCTATAACATTAGCAGTACCTATAGAGTGTAAGGGCAACCTCGAGGCCCGATGTCAGAGTCCTGGCAAGGGAGAATCCAAAGTGAATAATAGTGGTAGCTAGGTACAAGACCGGCATACCTGGCAAGGGAGAATCCAAAGAGAAACCGTGTTGGGGATTCTCCTTGCCAGGCGCCACTATTTATATGATACAAGAACAATAGAGCGCGCAGCGACAAACAAAGAACAATGGGAACAATAAGTACAATGGCTGTTTGGAGAACAATAGGAAACTGAGACAGTGGGAACAATGGGACACCTGACCATGTGCCCATCAGAGAGAAGCGCTCGGCACAGCAGCCTGGGCCGCGGTACGTGACAGCTGACAGGTCACGTGAGCGCGATCACATGCCAGATCCCAAGCTGATTGATCAGAAGAGGGGGTTCCCCTGACATCACCCCCCCCTTGGATTGCGGCGCCTCGACGCAACGTGCGGATGGTGGCAGAGGGGTGCTGGAAAGGGAGGGAGTCGAAGACGGCGGCGGCAATGACGCATGGTTTGCCAGGGTTCTTGCGGTAGAATTCCGCTACAGCGTCCTCTGCAAAGATATCAGAGTGTTTGACCCACTGGTCATGGGATGGATCGTAGCCTTTCCACCGCACAAAGAACCAAACGCTGCGGTAGCGTATCTTGGCATCCAGTATCTCTTCGACTTCCCACTCCTTGCCAGGTCCTTGGCCCATGACCGGTGGCGGCTCTTCATGGCGGGGCGCGTGGGGAATGGGTCGTCCTCAGCGAGCTGCAGTTTGACAACGGGGAAGACCGGGTGGAGGCGAGAGAGGCGGCGAGGGAGATCAAGCTTGTAGGCGCCACGTCCGACAACCTGGGTGACTTTGAAGGGTCCCAGGCGTCGATGAGAGAGTTCGAGGGACGGGCGCGTTGTTGCTATGTCAGAAGCATCAAGCCAGACTCGATCTCCGACCTTGATGTCCGGAGCTGGGGTCCTCCGCCGGTCGTAGTACTGCTTGTACTCCTCCTTTGCCTTTACCAGCGCAGACTTTGCTTCTGCCACGCCCAAAGTGATGCGGTCGCAGAACACCTTGGACACCCCACATTTGTACCTCGAGAGGTACCTTTTTGAGGCCCAAACAAGGTACCTCAGTGGTAGTGGGCGGCTGTGGGCTGGGCGGCTGCTGGCCCCCCCCCAATGCTCTGGGCGGCCCCACTCAAAAATCCATGGGCGGCCAGTGGGCGGCCTTGGGCGTGCCCATGGCTCCCGGGGTCCTGATAGCGCGCGCAGCGCCCGAAAATTTTCTGTTTTTTTGGCCTATTTGGAAAGTAAAAGTCATGTATATTTTTGCAACCTACGCAATAATACTGGCATAGAATGTAACATATGACTTGTATTTATGAACATATTATGAATGTAACATGACTTATTCTTTCTCTTAAGGATATATCAAGTCACTATTTTGTAGGCTTATGGACTCGAAGAAAAAAAATCCTTATCTTGTGCGCTTTATGACTTGAGTGAATGATGCATACAGATGTTTTTTATATTCTCTTTCGAACGTAGATATATTCTCAGCGACAGATGATTCCTGAGCACAGGAAAAATGTATGTGACATATTGACGCCTAGGCAAGTGTGAGCCCACCCACAGAGTTATGGGCCCGCCCAAGGAAAGTGTGGGCCCGCCCGCCTATTGCCAAGATTACTATGGGGCCGCCCATATCGGTTAGATAATTACGGGGCCGCCCATATCGCTTAGATGATCATGGGGCCGCCCGCCAATTGCCAAGATAATTACGGGGCCGCCCATATCGGTTAGATAACTATGGGGCCGCCCGCCAATTGCCAAGATAATTACGGGGCCGCCCATATCGGTTAGATAACTATGGGGCCGCCCGCCAATCGCCAAGACAATTACGGGGCCGCCCACCAGTGCCAAGATAATTATGAGCCTGCTTCTGGACGCTAAGACAAGTAATCCCAAGTCTTGTATTATTTCATACCTTCACTAGAGCACTCGATTACAATTTTCTTTTGCCCGCTTGAGATTTACAGTGCTGACGTACAACAGAGGCCCATAACTCATTTCCATTTTCAATGGGCAATCGCCGTATCAGTAATTGTCCCAAAAGATTCCACTCTATGTGTTATGGACAGTACAGAGCAAATACGCTCTTCTCTAGTTGACAAAGGCTCGCTGACAGATGGTCGTAACGTAGGACGACTCGCTGGGCTCTCCTTCTATGTAATTGTCTCTCCCCACATTGCCGTTAACACTCCTGCCAACGTCGGTGATATCTGGAGGTAGCAACCCACTGGGTAAGTCACGATCTGTAATGTATGAGTAAACGCGGTAGCTTTCATGGCATAGGTAGCTCAACTCACCAGGGAATTGTTGTACGAGGCGCTCGAGCTTCTCTAATACCTGCCACAGTAAGTGAAATCTGACCTTCTCTGAATATTCCATGACTCTTTTCAGCACGTCGATGACTCTGCGGCACTCCACCTCATGATAGTTTCGTCGGCGAACCTCTTCAGGAGTACTGTAGGCTGGATCCCGAAAGTCTTGGGGCCCAAGATCCTTGCGAAAGGATTCCTTGTACCACAACATGATTATATCATGGATGGCAATACGCAGGTCCTGGCGCGAAGTTGGAAGGTAGAATACGTCGGGAAAGCTTTCGTCCTTGATGACCCGGTTCCTCGCTAGAAAAGAGTTCAATTAGCTAGCCACCACTCTGAGAAACCCAACGGCAACATACCCGCGTGGAAGGGGCAGTTGCTGTTTGAGAGATCGATAGCGCCGGATATCGCGCATTGACACTGGAATGGCTGGTCAGTGCCAAATCTTCAACAGTAAACTATTCATTCCGCAGACCTTGCCGATATGATCGTCCCCCTCAAGTTCCACTGCGTCGCAGCCTTTACAAAGACTCGATGATGATTCGAAAGAACCATCCACAACCCGATACTCTGCCCCATACCATCTCGGGATATGCAAGCAACACTCAACGCAATCCACCCAAAGGTGCTTAGGCGAAGAGGCACGATACTGCGTCAAGGAGATGAGTTGATACTGTTGAACCGCACAGCCCAAAATCTCTTTGCGACGTTCGCAGTCGTTGGTGACGAGCTGGACGTGGACCCGCAACTTCCGAGGGCGAATGACTCGCGCTATATTCTGCGGTATCGTGCTTTTGACGAGACAGAGGTCATTGCGCCCCCGAACGATGTGGGCAGGGGATCTTGGTGTGGTCGGCGACATGGAGGCTCGCATAAAGGAGATTCGAGTTCAGGGAGTAAGGGTGGAGACTTTTGACGAGCTTTGCAAAGAAGTTATTGTGACCGCTAAAAATGCATGTCAATCTCGATTAAACTGATGCGGATGTACCTCACCAAACAGCAGATTCCACGTATTCCTTCACCCCAAGGAGATACATAGTCACCCCACGCATACAAAGTTCTGTGGGTTTATAGATTACCATAGCCACGCGCTCGGCATGAAGGATATACAAAGCGGAAACACAAGCGACACAGGATGCATATGTCCATATGGATGGTCCGATTCGTAGTGCAAAAGGGGATAGTTTGTAGATTCGTAAAGGACCATGTGTCTGTCTAAAGCCAATCGGGATAGTCCATGTGCGCTGAGATACCCTGAAGCTCCCGCCAATCACCGGCACGCTCGAAGGCGTCCAGTTCGTCGTAGGGAAAGTATTCGGTATCTGTCCCAGAGTCGCTGTCTGATGCGATGTCCTCTTGATATGATGGCGTATCAGGCTCCTTCCAGCTGCCAACCGACGTTCTAGCAAACATGTCCTCGATGCGGACTTGGAGCAGATCTTCCTCAGACGGGCCCCATGCTGGCAACCCGGATGTGGGATACGGGACCTGACGTAGCGGTTTCTCCCATGCTGCAGCCAATTTTGTCAATTCAGACTTGCGAAGCTCGAACTGATAGACAATCGCAGCTTCACCTGCAGAGGGATCTTCTTCAGTTGAGCCTTTGCTGGCCAGACATTCCATCAAATAAAATACTGTGTTGCACAACAGTAGTGTGATTGGGTGTGGGAGCTGAGCCCAGGGCGCAAAGCCGGCGGGGTGCGGATGACCCCGCAGACTCTGCTCTACTGCTGTACAGCGAGAAAATCAAACAGGCTGTGGGTGGGTGGGTGAGCGCAGAAAGGGGAATTTGTCGAGGATGAGATCGCCGGCAGGTGGGTGGAAGGAGAGAGTGAGCTCACAGCCACCCCCTGCTCTTCGGCTCTCTCCCTCACAAGATGATGCATTGATCTCCTTCTCTCACTCAATGCATCCATCTTCTTCAGTTGAGCCTTTGCTGGCCAGACATTCCATCAAATAAAATACTGTGTTGCACAACAGTAGTGTGATTGGGTGTGGGAGCTGAGCCCAGGGCGCAAAGCCGGCGGGGTGCGGATGACCCCAAAATGTGCTGCCCAGCCAGAACAACGCCGGCTCACCCAAAGAAAGCAGCACAACTTGTGTGTCAGTAAAATATGCACAATATGCACGCCGGAAAATGTGCAGGCTATGCACAGCGCACAACATGCACAGATGCAGGCTATGCATTGTCAAAAATGCATGATATACACCGCAGGAAAACGCAGGGTATGTCCAATTCTAGGCTAATCAAAGTCGAAATAAGCACAATATGCAAGCCAGAAATTTGCAGGCTATGCCCAGTGCATGATATGAGCATGTGCAGGCAATGCACCGTCAAAATATGGATGATATGCAGTCGGAATATGCACTATATGCATGCTGGAAAATGTGTAGGCTATGCACGGCGCACGATGTGCATGGGTGCAGGCTATGCACGCCAGAAAATGCGCAGGATGTGTGCAGTGCATGATATGCGTGGGTGCAGGCGACGCATAGGTGCGGGTGCAGGCTAGCCACTGCCAAAAAGCACAATATGCATAGTAGAAAATACACAGGATATGCGCTAATGCAGGCTATGCACTGTCAAAAAGCACGATATGCACAGGAGAAAAACACTGCACAATATGCGCAAGTGCAGGCTATTGAAAAAGCACGACATGCACCACAAGAAATATGCAGGATATGCGCAGGTGTAGGCTAAACACCGTCGAAAATGCGCAATATGCACCCAGACATATGCAGGATATGCACAGCGCACGATATGCACAAGTGCAGGCTATGCACAGTCGAATAATGCACGATATGCATGCCATAAAATGCGCAGAATATGCACAGCGCACAATATGCTCAAGTGCAGGCTGTGCACGGTCGAAAATGCACAATATGCAGTCGAAAATGCACAATATGCATGCCAGGAAATGCACAGGATATGCATAGCGCATGATATGCACAAGTGCAGGCTATGCACAGTCGAAAAATGCATGATATGCACCACAGGGAAGGCGCAGAATATGCGCAGTGTAAAAATGCACAATATGCACGCCGAAATACGCAGAATATGCGCAGCGCATGACAGTCACAGGTGCAGGCTATGCACCATCAAAAATGCACGGTATGCCCAGTAGAAAATACGCAGAAAATGGGCAAGTGCAGGCTATGCACAGTCGAAAAATGCACAATATGCACCAAGGAAAGGCGCAGAATATGCGCAAGTGCAGACTTTTGAAAAAGCACAATATGCACCACAAGCAATATGCAGGATATGCGCAGGTGTAGGCTATACACCGTCGAAAATGCACAATATGCACGCAAAAATACGCAGGATATGCGCAGGTGGAGGCTATGCACACTCAAAATGCACGATATGCACAGTAGGAAACACGCAAATATGCGCAGCGCACAAATGGGGCATGTGCAAGCTATGCACCATCCAAAACCACAATATTCACGCCAGAAATACGCAGGATATGCACAGGAGTAGGCTATGCACCATCAAAAATGCGTGATATGCACAGTGGAACGCACGCAAGATATGCGCAGCACACAATGGGCGCAGGTGCAGGGGATTCACCATTAACAATGCACGATATGCCCAGTAGAAAATACGCAGAATATGCGCAAGTGCAGGCTATGCATAGTCAAGAAGTGCACGATATGCCCACTGAAAAATACGCAGGATCTTGCCCAGTAGAAAAGACGCAGAATATGCGCAAGTGCAGGCTATGCACAGTCGAAAATTGCACGATATGCACAACATGACAATGTGCACGCCCAAAAATATGCAGAATATGCGCAGGGCACAATACACGATATGCACGCCAGGAAGAACGCAGAATATGCGCAGCGCACGATATGCGCATGTGCAGGCTATGAACAGTTGAAATGCACGATATGCACGCCCAAAAGATACGCAGAATATGCACAATCAAGAGTGCACAATATGCACGCCAGAAAGGACACAGAATAATTGCAGCACACACACAGTGGAAAATGCATGATATGCACACCCAAAATACGCAGAATATGCACAGCGCACAATATGCGCAGTGCAGGCTATGCACAGTCGAGAAACGCACAATATGCACCACAGGAAAGGCGCAGAGTATGCGCAAGTGCAGGATTTGCGCAGGTGCAGGCTATACACAGTGGAAAATGCATGGTATGTCCAGTAGAAAATACGCAGAGTATGCGCAAGTGAAGACTATGCACAGTCAAGAAAATGCACGATAGGCATGAAGGAAAGGCGCAGAATATGCGCAGCACAAGATATGCGCAGTGCAGGCTATGCACAGTGGAAAATGCATGATATGCACACCCAAAAATACGCAGAATATGCGCAGCGCACAATATGCGCAACTGCAGGCTATGCACAGTCAAAAAATGCACGATATGCACCACAGGAAAGGCGCAGAGTATGCACAAGTGCAGGATTTGCGCAGGTGCAGCCTATGCACACTCAAAATGCATGAAATGCATGCCAGAACATACGCAGGATATGCGCAGCGTGGTCGAGAAATGCACGATATGCACGAGAGGGAGGGCGCAGAATATGCGCAGCGCACGATATGCGCAGGTGCAGCCTATGCACACTCAAAATGCACGAAATGCATGCCAGAACATACGCAGAATATGCGCAGCGCGGTCGAGAAATGCATGATATGCATGACAGGGAGAGCGCAGAATATGCGCAGCGCACGATATGCGCAAGTGCAGGCTATGCACGGTCGAAAAATGCACGATATGCATGACAGGGAGGGCGCAGAATATGCGCAGCGCATGATATGCGCAAGTGCAGGCCATGCACGGTCGAAAAATGCACGATATGCATGACAGGGAGGGCGCAGAATATGCGCAGCGCACGATATGCGCAAGTGCAGGCTATGCACGGTCGAAAAATGCACGATATGCATGACAGGGAGGGCGCAGAATATGCGCAGCGCATGATATGCGCAAGTGCAGGCCATGCACGGTCGAAAAATGCACGATATGCATGACAGGGAGGGCGCAGAATATGCGCAGCGCACAATATGCGCAAGTGCAGGCTATGCACGGTCGAAAAATGCACGATATGCATGACAGGGAGGGCGCAGAATATGCGCAAGTGCAGGCTATGCACGGTCGAAAAATGCACGATATGCATGACAGGGAGGGCGCAGAATATGCGCAGCGCACAAAAGGCGCATGTGCAGGCTATGCACAGGAGAAAAATGCACGATATGCACAACAGGGAGGGCGCAGAATATGCGCAGCGCACGATATGCGCAGTGCAGGCTATGCACAGGCGAAAAATGCACGATATGCACAAATGCTAAGTAAATATTGACGCTATGTGGAATCGAGCAGCGTCTGGTCCAGGAAAAAAAAACAATCCTGAATGACGAGTGGCCGTGGAATACCCCTGCAGCGTCGTCAGAAAAAGCCAGGAACCCAAAAGACCAAAAATATGCCATAATCTCGCACTGGGTGCGATTCAATCGCAGGAAATGAGCACCCAATAGGATTGGGAGGGATAAGCGAATAAGCGCTGGAACTGAAGCGAAACCCTGGCTCCAGTCCGCAGGCCGCAGGGGGGAGGATTGTTGCTGGTCCAGAATGAGTGCTGACCGCGAAATAAGCCCTGCAGCGTAGTCAGACAACGGAAAGAGCCCCAAGGATCAAAAATATGCGATAATATCGCTGTGGGTGCGATTAAATCGCAGGATTTGAGCGCCCAATGAGAGAGGGAGGGAAAACCGAATAAGCGTGCATCTGAAGCGAAGAGGCATTCGCAGCTTGCAGGGTATGGGGCAGGGAATTTTGTAGCGAGTGGGCGGCCAGAATTCGAAGGAATGGACTGGGATGACTGTCTGGAAGATCAGGGGGGGTCGGCAGCTCGAAATGGGCGGAAAGGGGAGGGTTCTGAAGGCTGGGGGATGTAGATGGGGTCGTTCTAATGCCAGGATGCAGTCAACAAGCAGTGTATATGTCTAGCTGTAACTGTGAAAAGAGAGGGAAATACTCAGCTTCATGGATGGAATTGGGGTGTAGGCCCAGAGACACTCTCAAATAGCATCCAAATTTCGAGCTTGAGACAGATTCCATAGTTCACAGAGACGTATGCAGACACTGTCGAGTTCTGGGTGATAGTCAGTCATATAGAACCATAAAAGAGTGTGTAATAAGAGCGCAGAAAGGGGAATTTGTCGAGGATGAGATCGCCGGCAGGTGGGTGGAAGGAGAGAGTGAGCTCACAGCCACCCCCTGCTCTTCGGCTCTCTCCCTCACAAGATGATGCATTGATCTCCTTCTCTCACTCAATGCATCCATAAGGTCAAACGGAGTCGAATACTGTGTGCAACGGCGACTGGCACCTACCGTCTTCCGCGGCCAACTTCATTCCGCGCGTCACCACTTCCCATTCCTCGGCCATCCACCAGCGCAAAGCCCGACATTCATGAAACAAACGCGGCTCCTCTTCGTTACAGCGGTCCTGCTCCAACATGGCCTGGATACCCTGACGAACTGCGTCACTTTTCATCCACAGTGGCGGCTCTGTTTCCTCGTCTGCCTCCATCAGGCCAACGTCAAGCCAGATTTCAGCATCGACATCCAATGCCCATATGTCCTGCTCAATGATTTCTCTA